AGCAGCAAGTACATTGTTGTATTTGGATTGATCAAAAAGATTCCTTCTGGCTCATGTTGACTCTACAAAAGTTGAGTTGCTAGAGATTATATTATACTCATATAGCTTATTTTGTTCAGCTTTTAATTCTCTATCGTCAAATATATACTATGAAAAATTTTCAATTATCTGTTGAAACGCCAGCTGGCACAACTTTTATAAGGTATATTTTCTTTTTTTCCAAGAAGATAATTTATGAGAGTGCCAAAAGTTTGTATTGGCTAACTTTTCAAAGAAAGGATATTAGAACCTAAAATTTTGGAGTTGATGCCCTTAGACATTGATGTGCTGGATGAGCAAGAAAAATCAAAAAGAAATTTTATCGAGTGCCTTGTAGATTGGAATGATACTTGATGAGCTCATGGAAGGTCTCTGAAAGGTCTTTCTGAGACTCATACCTTATTTACAGGCTAGTTTGAAGAGTGAACGGTGCTATTTGTTGAGAGGGATATTGTTGGAGTGTTCGGAGGTGTAGTGAGATTTTGTTGCCAACAAAATACGGTGTCATTTCGATGTGGTCATGGAGAGACAGGGTTGAAGTTCGGTGTGTTCCATTTCGGATACGTTGCAGTTCTTTTGTCATTCCGGCGGCAAGAACTGCATGAAATGTGCCGTTTCCGATACAGTGATTTTCCGGCTCGAATACTGCCTCTATGTTCGCGGAATATTTCCGGACGTTTTCGGCAGGAATGGTACTAAGAGCGGCAGAAATCAGTTGGAAAAGAGGCCATTTCCAAGTTCTAGACTCATCAACCTCGGTAAATAATTTCTTTAATTCTGATTCATTTAATTAAAAAAAATATTTGTTAAAAATACTTCGAAAAAAAAATACAAATTCATTGCTACTCTTCACAATTTCTGAATTGTCTAAATTAATATTTAAGTAATCATGTTTATAATTTCTTTGAAATGTTATAATAGAACTTATATAATTTAAAGACAAGGCCATCTCATGATATCTTTAGCAAGATCGAGCAGTTTCATGGTGGTTCGTCTTGCTATCATAATCAAGATAGCCGCTACAACCGCAGGAGATGTTTCTATGGAAAGCGGCAATCGATCGACTGTTGCTCAGCAAGAACAATACAGTTCGCTCTTGTCTTCATATCATTAATCGATCAAACAACAACGAGTAAGTGGAGTGTAGAGCAATTTTTCTTTTTGCTTAAAAAAAAAGGATTTATTTTACGAACGCAAAAGAAAGAGAGAGAATTTGCCGCTGCCGCAAGAAACACCACATTCATTTTTCGGTTTGGAAGTCGATGACAACACATAATCATGCGAGGTAGGTGTTTGAAGCAACAGTGTTGTATGTGGTTGCGCATTTTTAACGATTTTCTCGCCATTTTTTCGATAAGAAAGTCAGCAAAATGAGAGCACTGGAGCTCCTATAACAAGGAAAAAAGTATCGAGATTGTCAGTCGCTGTCAAAAAAACATTTCCACTGAGCATTAGATAGAAAAATATTACAGGAGGACTGTGTTACATATTATTTGCATAGGAAACGAAATCTCACTGGCACTCGATCGAGAACACCACTCAGTAATCATTATAGACATTTGCTTCAGCTATTTTTATCAATTTTGTGCACTAATTTCAGTACTGTAGTCATTTTATTCTGATAATCGTTGCTCTTAAACGATCATCGACCATCAAACTACGACCGTCTTGTTTTGCAAAATTCTTGTTTGTCTGACACAGATCTTCTTTGCTGGTCTAAATTTAATATCTTTTATAAGCACAACAGCCATCATTTTTCTAACCTTACTACTATTGTCCATTTCAGAGTTAAATGGCCGTAGGCATTTTTTGAATAATTTTTAAACAGAAAAAGAGAGGTAACCTAAATTTTTCGTTCTATCTAGAGTCGACATTACTTTATCTTTTTACAAAGTCGATGAAAAATTTTAGTCGCTTTTCGTAGTGAATACGTAAGGAGTTTTGAAGACAAGCTTAATTAGCTTTAGCCTTTAGAATCTATACATTTTCTCAACTATAATATAATAGACAGATAGTTCAGGTCTCCCTCTATCGATCTACACGAGGTCGAGATCGAAAGCGATTTGCATTCAAAATATATAAAGATTTTTCTGAAGGTTGCTTACGAAATATTTTTCAAAATCTTACCAGTTAATACACATTGCATACTATAAGCTTTTAGTGGCCTTCGTCTTTGTTACATGATTTATTAACATTTAGAGTTTCTTGCCTGCAGAAAGCGTGATTGAAGAGCATTTATTTGATGGTCGGTATGTGTAGTGAAGGAATGGTGTGGATATGAGCGTGAGCATAGATGATTTTTTTTCTTCAGTCAGCATCTCACCCACATCTCTTCAGCGAGTCATTGTGCCTTGAATCGTACAGAGTTAGCCTGGAGCCATCTGAAAACATATCTATGCGATAGAAACATCAAGTTTACTTTAACTGGAATGAGCAAACTGGGACAAGAGGGTTTATGCAAGAGAAAAACGACGTATTCCGGTACTCCTACAATACACAGAGTTCACTGGAGTACGTAGAGTCCAATGGAGTACATAAAGTCCAGCGGAGTACAGAGTCTAACGAGAATAAACCAAGGAGAAAACGGTGTAGTCCAGCACTTAAGCAGACAAAAATTTTTAAAAACGCGTTTAAATGCACAATCGAGAACCGCGACTGTGATCCATTCGCGCTCATTAAAAAGACGCACGAAACGACGTTTTTCATGCAAAATAGTCATTTTTGGAACGTAAAAACGTTGAAAAATTGAAAAGCTGAGCGCTTAAACGCGTTATTTCTAAATCCCAGAAAAAAAGAACGTTTTAACACAAAAAACTGAAAATTTCCACAGTTTTCACGTTCAAAAAGTAATAAGCGTGAATGGATCACAATCGCGGTTCCTGATTGTGCGTTTAAACGCGTTTTTCGAAATTTTTGTCTGCTTGGGTACTTCTCTACTGCCTGGACTTCTTGTATTCCGTGGACTTCGAAAGTACAGTGGGAGTTCAGCAAGTACAAGAGTACCTCGTTTTTCTCTGTATTCCTTGTACTTTCGGAGCCCACGGAGTACGTAGACTCTGCGGAGTACAAGAGTCCAGGAGTACGTCGTTTCTTCTTGGGTTTATCGCTTAAGTGCGATGGAAGCAACCAGTCACGTTAGTTACGTCCAACAATATGACACAATATTAAAGAAGGGCGATAATTATGTTGAAGAAATGGAAGAAGAGTTAAGTGATCATGACGATGATGATTATAGTACTTACAATAAAGATGATGCTGATGATTAATGACTTCTATGGTGGATTTACGTGAACATCTTAAAATTCTTTTTGGTTCAGCAATTTAGATTCAGGAAATTATTCTAATGAGAACAACAATAAGATAAAGGTTGAAGAAAACTTTCTGAATATGTTAATTCATTATCATCAGAATAATTATAACGTATGGCTTTTGATAATATTCTTCAATAGAAAAACCATTCCGAAGATTAATAAATCATGTAGCGAAGACGAAGATCACTAAAAACTTATAGTATGCAATGTGTATTAATTGGTAAGATTTTGAAAAATATTTCGTAAGCAGTCTTCAGAAAAATCTTTATATCTTTTGAATGCAAATCGCTTTCGATCTTGATCTCACGTAGATCGATAGAGGGAGACCTGAGCTATCTGTCTGTTATATTATAGTTGAGAAGCAGTAGTGGACAGATTTCCAAAAAAGGAAATTTTCCTGCTAAATGTACATATTTCGGAAACTACAACCATACAAAATGCAAGTTTCAGAAAATATTGAAATTACTGCAACTACCGCAATAATATACAAAACCAATCATAACCAAAATAAAGAAATTTTCTGGAAATTTCAGAAATTACCTTCACATCAGGAAATAAAATTTTCAGAAAATTTTAGTAATTCCTTATACTACAGAACAAAATTACTAGATAATCTCCGTAAATACCAACTCCACAGAAGATAATTTATCAGTAACTATGAAAATTTCTATAATTTTTTCATTTATATCACATAGACTTCATGAGATAAAGAATGGCATAAAAAATTGCTTGGCATTAGTATCATGACTTTTACATTCCATTTTACGCATGATTTCGATTGATTCTACTTTCAATTCCTGGGCATAGAATTTCATCGATGAAATGAATATGAGTATCACAGTTAGAAGTAATTAAGAAGCAGTCAACAACTGCTCAGTCCCCTAAAAAAATTCTGTAGTGATTTTTAGAGAATGATGGCGATTGATCAGTACTAAAAATGTTCAGAAACATGTATTTTCTGAATGCCAGGCAGGACTCATTAAAACAAGGAACCATATAGATTGATAAGGGAAAGTATACTTTTCGCATTTGGTTTCCGTATATATTCTTAGTTCTCAGTTGCCTAAATTACTGCACTTAGGTCTGTCCAAAAGTTCTCAGATTATGAAAGAGTAATATAAAGATAATGAGATATTTTCAATTTTATTTTATCAAATATTGAGGATAGTTGCCATGATTATATATATCAACTTCAATCCTTTCCAACAATTTGTTAAAAATTTTTTTGAAGTCTTTTTCGAAAAAATTTTTAGGTCCTTTGGAAACCGCATCAACACATCATATTTCATTTATTTAATCAGTTAAACTACACCCAACACAATCACTTAACCATAAATTGTGTAGTATCAGGTCCGGTGATTATGGTAGATGTGACATTATATTTGTGCCTTTTACTGTCAAATAATTAATAATATTGGATGAGTATGAAGTCAATGATGATCGTCAAGCAATTTTGTACATTTTGAACCTAATATCTATGTTTGTTTTCATATTTCATTAACAAATGGCTTCGGAAAATTTTCAATATAATAATTGTGATCTACAGTCTTGCCTTTATCTGCACTCAGGATTATGTGATATAAATATACTAAACAAAGTTTTGGTTAAGATCTGTCTCCATAAACAACAATCTTTGACAATTCATCCTCAATAAGCTAGTTAGCATCATATGACTTGTGACTAACCTATCTAAAATAAATCAATGTCACATCACTAGTAGTGCTAGGATGCAACTGACATGATCAAATAAAATTTTGCTAAATCTTGAAAACAAATGAAATATGATTGGCTGATACGGTTTTCAAAGTATCTAAAAATTTTTTCGAAAAAGACTTCAAAAAAATTTTTAACAAATTGTTAGAATGGATTGAAGTTGATATATATAATCATGGCAACTATCCTCAATGTTTGATAAAATAAAATTGAAAATATCTCATTATCTTTATATTACTCTTTAATAATCCGAGAAATTTTAGACAGACCTAAGTATATCCGGCTAACATCGCAGTATTGATCATCGATGATGAACGAGTGTCATTGACACTCTTGTTTTTTTGGTAGGGATATGCCTATAGTACGTTGTAGAAGTGAGCTCTGTTAGAAATAATTTTCTGCAAGCGTTCCTAGCTCGATGAGATCTCAAGCAGTTATATCTGAGCAACATAAATCTGAATGATTTTTACTGCTTATGTTTAAATCAATTTATTTTGCTTTCCAGATTTACTACCGCATGGTGTCATATAGTAGACACGCTCAATCAACAGACTATATGCGAAGAACATAGTCGGATAAAATCACTTCTTCTTGGAAGAGAAACACACTATAGGATTTTGTAGAGAATTTTTTCTGCATCGACTGACACTCTACTAGTTTTATTTCCACCTTGTATATAATTCCGAAAGAAAGAATGATAGAAACTATATATAGGCAGTTATAACAAGGGAAAATAACCTTTTAGAGATGGTTTTCTTGTCTTAAATATACTCCTATGATAACGGATTCATGGAATTGTCGTTTTAACATTCTCTCTATTTTGTAATTTTTTCCCTAGTACTTGCTCTTCTCGTGAGTATAGAATCACATTGAAGAGTAGGATAAAGGTGATATACGTAGTGTCCCAAATGTCATGATCACTTAATAAATGCGTGTAACTCCAATACTTATCAAGCCGGACTCAACAATTATTTTTTTATCTGAAAGAGAAGGCTTCTAAATTTTTATTCCAAAACACGAAATTTATAAATAGTCTCTAAAGACTATCACTTTTAGCTGTAACATCAAAATTTAATATTTTTCCAATGTTAAAAAATGATACATACTGCTTTGCTTATATTTCATTCAATTTCTATCGTTATGATAGACTCTAAATTATCAACATTCCTTATCGTTATTCTACAATCATTTATTTGACATTTTTTTGAGAAGATTGACTTATTGATACATTTCTCGAAAGTAGATTTTTCCTGACACGGCGAAAACTTTGATGACTGATGGAATAAAGATACCGAGCGATTTCGCGGTTCTTACTATCATTAGGTTTGGCATTGTTGCATTGTTTCCGTAAGAAAATATCAAAATGAATGCTAATACAGCAATAGTAGGATATGATAATGGTTTAAAGTTCATAATAATAATAGAAATCAGATGAAACATAGGCGAAGCATTGCATACCGTTTTTTAACATTGGAAAAATATCACATTCTGATGTTACAGCTAAAAGTGATAGCCTTTAGAGACTATTTATAAATTTCGTGTTTGGGAATACTTGATAAATAATGGAGTTACGCATTTATTAAGTGATCATGACATTTGGGACATCCTGTATCATAGAATGACAATAAGTCACAACAACATTATTCCTCGATTATTTCTTCCTACCCTAATTATATTCTAATGACGAAGAGTTGATATTTTTAAAAACTTTCTGTCTATTAACAGATTTTACAATAAAAATGCCCAGCGATTCAGATACCAACATTAACGACAATGGCACGCAAAATGATAATTCAATTTTTACATATCATGTTATTGATGAGAACTCTGATAATAGTTTTCTCGATATCGATTCAATATTGCGCATCATTCAAGAGCTCAAATATGATATCAATACAGAGCATCAGCTAGAGAAGCATACACTAACTCGATTGAATGAATGTTTGCATCTTTACGTTGATCATATTGAACAGTTGGTATCACAAAATGCAAAATGTGTGGCAAATATGGCCCACTCTCAGAAACAATCGGTCGATTTTAATATTTTCAGTACAGAATCGAATGAATATCATCGCCAAGAGTCTGATAATATCAGAGTTAGCTGCGAAAAAGTTAACTACGAATTGGAACTCGAACTCTTTCAACTGCAGATTGAAATTTATCAGCAACTGATTCAAATTCGAAAACAGTCGAGCGATGAACAACGTTTGAAATTAGAACAAGAATTAGATCAGTCGTCATCTGTTCTACTCAATTTACGTACATCCTATGCAGAATTAAGACAGGAAATAGAAAATCTTCGTTCAGCACATGAAGATACGTTTAAACAGTATCTGACAGTATCACAAAATTGGAGTAGTTCGAAGAAACAAACAAATAAATTGAAGCTCAATATACAATCGTTCAAGAAGCAACTTGTATTGTACAAGAATTTACGTTCGCATGCGACAAAGTGAGTGTAAATTGCTGGTTTTATCCTTCCATAGAGAAACTTTTTCTCTTTCTTTTAGTGAAGTTGACTCATCGTCAATTAAAACGTTTGATGTAGAAGGATTCGTGGCTTTGGGACAGAAGAAAATCGTCCAGAAAATACGTAATGATTTTGAACACTTATATGCACAAATTTATCGTGAAATGACTGCCAACCACGAAAAGGAAGTACAGGAATTACAAGTAGAAGTTGAACAAGCAGTGCACTATCAACAAATTGAGTACAACGAACGCGTAATGATTCAACAGAAACTCGAGAGTGAAATTAAAATAGCGCAGGAAAGACTTGCCCATGAAAAAGAAGTTCAAATAAATTTAGAAGCTACGTACTGTAAGTAATATTAAATATTTCACTCTTGATATATTCTTCTTTAAAACATGTTTCCTTTCGGTTTCTTATAGCTGAATTAGAATCAGAATTCAAATCCATTCAAGTTCAGAAGAACGAGCAACCCGAAGTACCATTGAAAGAACGACAAAGTTTACAGGAAAGTATTCGGACAATGGTGAATAATATCAAGGAAATGCGACAAAGGTTAGAAAGTTTACTACCAGTGGAAAATAAGGAGTAAAATACTTTTTACACAATGTTTCTAGACAAATCGTTTTGGAGCGTGAGCTTATTATCTATCGTCATCTTCTGGGTAAATATGAAATAAAGGAGCAGAAGGTGATTAGTTATTCTTCTCCACCAGCTCAAAATGTAACAACGCCAGCATTGGTTACAGAAACTGAGCGTCAAGGATCGATTGGCATTGGTAAGTGTCGAGTTAAAAAAGAGAGACTAAAAGAGTCTGACTGGTTTCTATCTTTTTGCAAAGAGTGTCCTGTCGACGACACATACATATGTTTTACAAATCATTCACAGAGTAAGGATACTGATATCTCGAGATGGATGCTGAAACGACGTGTTGATTCAAAGCCGGAACTTCAATATACACTACCCGACGGAATTCGACTTCACCCTGGCAATGAGTTAAGAATCTATTCGAAATTAGGTGCTGACGTTACTCAATCGTCGTCGAATCCTGACAATGTTTCTTCTTCCTTATATCAGAAACTTGTCAGTAACGATGTAGCCTCATGGGGTACGTGAATGTGTGAAATAAATCTATTTATTGATTTGTCTGTGCTATCGCTGTCTAGGTAATGGTGACAAGATCGAAACAATTCTGTTTGATGCAAATGGCATACAGAAAGTATCATACGTACAGTCGATTGCACCTGAAGGAACTGTAGCTGATTTACAGTAGCAACACCAACTAATTTTCATTGATAACTATACTAACTTCTAGCATTGAATTCTATTTTCTAATCTCCTAGAATAGTTTGGTCATATATTTTAAAATTTGAATCTGGCATATACCTAATAAAATATAGCATAGATGTTTTTTAGGATGCTTGTTTATTCATTCAATAAATCTATCGGGCATCAAAAGAGTTCTTTTTGCCCGATCGTTTGATGAGTATGTGAAGACTGGTTCTATCATGTTTTTTTTAATACTCTTCCTCGACATAAATGAATTTGTACATTCGATTACACCCGTCATCGAAGCAGCGTTTTAAATCCTCATTTGTTTCGTTGCTTCGGAATTGTTCGATCTTCAGCATGATACTGCCATGGTTGAACTGAATTTCACGCAGATTATTTTTGAGGGCACATGGATTTAGATCTGGAAAATATACACTATTGAGTTGCTACAATATTTTTTCGAATTTTTTCCTCATGATGTGAACGCACTAACTAAACACTGATTGAACCAAACGATCTGTTCACATCCGATGCACTTATGAGTGTTTGTAAAAGATGCGAACACTTATGGCTTAGACACGCATCCAAAATATTAGACTTTTTTTTATAAAGTGCGTGGAATGCAAAATTCGAGTGGAATTTGTGTTTCGTTCTATTATACAGGGAGGAAAATAATATTATTCAAGGGGGGTAGCGCTATAATTTCAAATAGAAGACATAATGAATTTTATATCAAATAAGAGCTCGTCAAAAATGGGGCTCATTGATCCTAAATAGTGAGGGTCATGAACACCTTTTAATGTCAAACTTAAAAAGTATTTAGAAATTTGATACTTTTTTGGGACTGGATAACTAAGATGGTATTAATTGAAAGATAGAATAAAATATTTTTCTTAGACATGTTTATATGATTCCATAGAGCTCGTCGAACTCTACAAAACTGTATGTATTTAAAAAATTTTAAGTCAGTTTTTTGCGATAAAAAAATCAAAAAACTAGTGGGAAAATGTTAAAAAATTCTCAAAAAAATCATACTTTGAGATGAAAGAGAACCACTCAGTTTTTCAATAAAACTAGCTGTTTTTTATTGTTTTTACTTCCCCAAATCCTCTTAAAACACACTCATTCGACGCAGCGTGAAAAACTGAACCCAATGAGTATATTTCGAGAAGATTTGGGGAAGTAAAAACAATAAAAAACAGCTAATTTTATTGAAAAACTGAGTGGTTCTCTTTCATCTCAAAGTATGATTTTTTTGAGAATTTTTTAACATTTTCCCACTAGTTTTTTGATTTTTTTATCGCAAAAAACTGACTTAAAATTTTTTAAATACATACAGTTTTGTAGAGTTCGACGAGCTCTATGGAACCATATAAAAATGTCTAAGAAAAATATTTTATTCTATCTTTCAATTAATACCATCTTAGTTATCCAGTCCCAAAAAAGTATCAAATTTCTAAATACTTTTTAAGTTTGACATTAAAAGGTGTTCATGACCCTCACTATTTAGGATCAATGAGCCCCATTTTTGACGAGCTTTTATTTGATATAAAATTCATTATGTCTTCTATTTGAAATTATAGCGCTACCCCCCTTGAATAATATTATTTTCCACTCTGTATAATACTGAGATGGTCCAATGCATAAACGCAATCATCTCAGCTCCCATGTAAAAAAAGCTAAAAATCTGATGAAAATCAATTTTTGAAAAATAATCGCAAAAAATCAATTAAAAGTACCAAATTTCGATTAAATTCAATGTAAGGTTTTCTTTTAATTGATTTTACTCAGTAAAAATCGATTAAAATTGGTTTTCTTTTAAAGAAATCGAAAAAATCGTTAAAGAATCTAATCGGTTTTAATTAATTAGTTCCGAAATTGATTAGAAATCCAATCGATTTTAGAAATAATCGATTAAAGTCGATTAGGTTTTTAATCGATGCTATGATTCCGCTAAAAAAATGAATTTATAATCGATTTTAGAAATAACCGATTAAAATTGATTACTATGATTCGTGTAAAAAATTGATTTTAATCGATTACTGATGTATTTGCGCCATCTCAGTTATGAAACAAGTGACGTTCATCGAGAGTCGATTCACTTATCCCTAGACTGATGGGATATGGATATCCATGCAGTTGCTTTTAGATGTAAATGTTCAAATAGAAATGATACTTTCAGTTAAATCATTCGAGTATTCTCATTATATATAATATAATTATTTTACTTGTTTATTTGTTTTTCTAAGAACCATTTAACCGTAGAGATGAAATTCTTCAATGAAGTGAAGAAACTCTTGCAATGCACATGGAATTCGACATCAATCAAGGATGTGGATGTGAATTCGATTCTTTGCTTGACTCACACCCAAACCCATACCCCACTCACACTCCTCTTTTTTATTTTTATTTGATGTTATCAGAAATTTTCCTCAGCCCCAAGTATTATAGACTTTATCTAAAATAATATTAGAATTAAATCTAAGATAGAGTTGTTACATATATTATTGTAGACAAGGCATTCTGCTGTGTATTTATGCAATAAAATTTTCGATATTAACTATTTTATAAAATTTTAAATACCGAAATCAGAACTTTTGATCAACTCTAAGTATGATTATAGATTCATTACGACGACGCTAAGATCTATAGCTAATGAAAGAGATCTCTAGAGTACTATGCTCTGATTTTAATAGTACTTTAACTAGATATTAAAAAAAAAATATTACATATAAGGGCAAATTCAATGCTTGTCAGAGTCAGACTTCCACTGAGTCAAACAAAGACTTCATCGAACTGGATTTTTGAATACAACGTTTCAGTCCAATATAATTTATACCAGTTAAACTGATCTTGACGAAGAACCTATCAGACAAACATCATAAGAATAGTAGTAAATAAAGCAGTAAGAATACCTTGTAGACTTGAAACGTGATTGACAAAATGTTACAAGGATTTATTTTTAAGATTTATTATTCATATTCAAATATTCAGACCTATCGTTTGCAGTAGATATCATACTTTCACTGAACTAGAAGAAAACTACAGTTTACAACAGGCATTGTATACCTGAGAGGCTTCTTTCTATAGAATCTTGCCTTCGTTTTTGCTTTCAACTAGGTTCTTCAGTAATATCCATTTTTAGTCTTGCATTCTATGCCAAAATGGACACCGAAATTCAGGACACAAAAAAAAATATGAAAAACATCCGGAAATAAAATATATTGTGAGAACTGTTCTAATTCTATGGTTATGTACTATTTAAATCGGAGCATAGTACTCTCGAGATCTCTTTCATTAGTTGCAGACCTTAGTGTCGTCAGAATAGATCTATAATCATATATAACATTAACAAAAAATAATGTTTGATTTTTCTGAATAATTTCTTCTGTTTATTCGTAAAAAATGATATCTTTTGTTTTCGAATGAAAAATAAACTATAAGTATATATATTTTATTTTTAATATCATTAATTAATGGATAATTATTTGATATTTATTTGAATTGAAGTAACTTTGACAAACTTTTTTTGTCGAAGTTATAATTTCGATACGACATATATACATAGTTTTGAAGAGTAACATTTAAACATTCAACAAAATTTTCATTAACCGTAAGAAAGTGCCATATTGGTTAAAATATTGAAAAAATTTTATTAATGTCATTTTTTAATTTTTTTCTGTAAGGATCATATCAGAACATCAGTACTACACTCAAAAAAGTTTACATTCACAGGCACTTTTTGTTTTTACAAAACAAAGTATTTCACTTCTCCTAATTAAGCAGGTTTCACATCATTTTAAGTTATTCTTTTAAAAAGCTGCTTTTCTTGCATTTTGTAAAGAATTGCACAAGCTATATTTTGGAAAAAAAAGCTCAAGTTAAAACATCAAAAACTGACAGAAATATTTATTAAATACTGAATAAGTAATTCTTTACAGAACAAAAAACTAAAAAATGACATTAATAAAATTTGTTCAATATTTTGACTAACTTGGCACTTTCCTACGATTGATGCAAATTAAATGCAATTTCTGTGGACTAATATATTAGATGTTACTCGTCAAATATATATATATACAATACCTCTCCAACTTTGAATATGGAAAAGATAAAATAAAAATAAAAATGAAGTTGTTACTTATGGGACACCTTTTGTGCAAAAAAAGCGAAGCAGCCGATCAATATTCACTTGGTTTTCAAATATCTTCAGAAAGAAAAACTTTGCCCTTTTATTCAACTTACAATAATATTTTACATATCTATACCTGAAATAGAATATATATATTAAGTGAATTACACAAAAAAAGACCATTTCTGATAACAAATTCTATTTCATGATTTGAAATTAATATGTAACTATGCATAATTAATATTTATTGATGTAGATGTTTGTCACGATGATTCATTCTGTTGAAAGTGATATATGAGTGAAGAGCACAACCATTATATCGTTCGAGCAAAACTATCGATAAAAATAAATTTAATAATAAGAGACAACGAAGTGTTGCATTTGATATAGCGATGCCAATTGTATATGAAAATAATATATTTCAAAAAATGTCGCTCTACATTTTGCTAGTAAGACTAAATTTTCTCTCGAACGGAGAAAGATTTTCGCTTGATTTTTTTTTTGGTATATTATTCTACTCTATGACCATGAAAAAAGATAAAATCTTTGTCGTAAACGGTTAAGTATTCATTGAGTTATAGTGAAAACGAAAATGAAAAAAGCCGTCTACATTTTGTCTGAAATTAATTTTTTTTTGTCTTGTATAAGGTTTTTGTACTAACAAAGTTTATGAAACAAACTTCTTTCCCTTCACAAAAAATGTTGCCCCTATTTCTCTCTGATACTCAATCAAATAAATAAATTTCTCCAAATGAAACATCAATGATTTTAATGTCACCCTACGCAAAATGAAAAAGTGTCTCAATATCCATTATCGACAGTTTTTCATTTTATTTAAAAACAGATCGTAATGTGATAAAAAAAACAAGTGGTTTTCTTTCAACAGATGATCCTAGAAACTATGTATTTAGCATTGTTGGTATGATTTCGCCGAAACTAAAGTAGATGGAAACTTGATTCTTCAGAAGTGAATAGCTATCTTTAGATCAGTAAAATTAAAAAAATTCATCACAATCGACTGAGTTGAACTTGATTTATAGGCATTTTTCTTTTCGGAATACAATTGTACAATAATTGTGCTCTTCACTCATATATTTAACATATACAATTTCACTTGTTTATGAATAAATCAGTAAATTTACGATAAATCGGTTATTTTCACAAGACAAATTTATTTTTAAAAAAACTTAATATAAGAAAAACAAGTTGAAATATTTTCTCGATTTATGATTTGTTTATTCTTTTTTATATTTAATAATTATTTAATCATTTAATATCCATCAATCATAAGTTGAAATGCCTAAGCATTCACGTGATAATAATCATCTATGACTTGATTAAGCCAATACGATTAACGATCAACATTATAATTGTGTGTATATTATACGAAAAAAATACTATAGAAATAAAATTATTGATCCTTATCCTATTTCACAAAAACACTACGCACACTAAAACGAGAAAAACGCACTTTGAATTATAATTATAAAAAAAAAGATAAAAACGAGAAGTTAATAATAAGAAGAATAAATGACAAAAAATATTTAAACATTTGGCACTTGCTGATATTTTGGATCTGATGTGCTAGTTATTGTTGATGGTTTATTTTTCTTAAGTTTTTTTCCAATAATGAAAAACAGAAGAACAAGTATAATACCAATGATACACAGGACTATTAAAATGATCAATAATACCTTGTTCCAATAACATGAACCTTAAAATCATTAAGATAAACACATTAATAAAAGTATTTATTTCTTTTTTTTCTCTTTCTATGAAATAGAAACAAACCTTCAGATGAAAATGTGCCTGTCTTAGATTGCAAATTATCGAACGATGGATGTTTATCAATATGGAGATCGACAAATACAGTATCAGGATCAGAGGACATTCTTGAGAAAAGTATAGACGAAAACCGATTGAAGGTACAATAAATTTCTTATAATCAATCTATATCGTGTTTCAATTTATCAATATAAACAACACGAACACAAAATAGAAAATGGATACTCATTCATATTTTCGATTACAATCTAATTGCGATGCGCAGTTACGATGAAGAAATCGCAGTCGCGCGTAACTGCATCGTAGTAGCTAAAAATGAGACAACACGTGTCTTTTGCACGCCTTAATGATTTTATTTTGGTTTTTCTCTTTCCATTTTTTTTATTTTTTTTCCTTTCGTGATATAATTTCAAAATAATCAGTTTGATGGTGTGCGACAAGACAGAAAATGAAATGATACCAGTAATGATGACTCAACAAAAATTTTGTTGCGTTCTGTATTTATTCGTCTCTTTTTTAAGAGGCTCTTATTATTCAAAATAAAAGAAACTGAAAAAAAAATGATAGGATGTCGATAAAAACCGAGCTCATGAAAGAAGTTTATAGTTGTTGTAGAAAATTTGTCGTTGTCACTTTTGTTATCATCATTTAGACATAAATGTGTTCATAATGATTGATTGAAGCGATCAATAGTGTTGCTGATGGTAATATACTACAGAGTGGCCCAAAAGTATCGTTAAAGAAAGAAAAAAAAATTGAATATCTCCATTACGGCTTGAGCAAACGGGCTGTTTTTTTTATCGCTAGTAAAGATATGTTCACACTTCATATTCATAAAGACAAGGCGAGAGAGAATCTTTTTTAAGTACCACTATTGACTTCAACAAAAAAAAATTTTTTTACTTTTTCACAGATAGAAAAAAACTGGCATACGTAACAAAGGATCTTTCGAGTCAGTCCTGAAAAAATGAAGTTTATAGTTCCTTCAAACGACACCACCAACGACGAAACGGTTGCGAATCGTATTTTTGATCTAAAATGTACAATTTACAGAGAAAAGAAGTTTTCTTGGATATACATATATGAATAGTACAAATGTAGATGTCCATAATACAAATAAAAGTATGCTACGAAGATGTAAAGTGTATATATACTGTCTGAGTATTTTTACCAGACTCTTAAATAACATTTAATGATAGACCGTTACAAGCTTTACCGATCGCATTCTCTAATTCATGTCATGATGTTAGAGTCTTGCTTTTAATTTTCTATTTAATAATATTACAGACCAGTTCAATAGCGTCAAAATTAGGACTATAACCTGGTCAATTTCATGGTTTAGTATTACGTGTTTAACTAAATAATGCGATCAGTGAAGTTTGTAACGATCTATCATTAAATGTTATTTAAGAGTTTGGTAAAAATACTCAGACAGTATACCAACACTTCATATCTTTGTAGCATACTTTTATTTGTATTATGAACATCTACATTTGTATTATTCATACACTACTGGCCATAAGGCCCGGAATGTATGATACTCCCCCATGGCTTCGATAATTTTCTACCAAATTTTTATCATAGATAGAGCTTAAAAAACTGTGATCACCAGCACCAACCCGAACTCTAATGACTGAGATTGTATGAAGTTATGATTCAAACACTAGTTTCACCTCTGTTTATCTGTAAATCAATATTCACAGTTTTTATGAAAAACAATCGAGATGCAAGAAGTCTTGTTTAATCTCTAAGTTGTTTCTTAGCTTGTTGATATTAATGGATTTCGTGGTACAATACATAGTGGACACTTATTATTCGTAATTCTATGCGATTCTATTCCAGCATCTTGATTGTTTTTCATAAAAGCTGTGAATATTGGTTTATAAGTAAACAAAGATGAAACTAGTGTTTGAATCATAACTCCATATTATCTCACTCGATAGAGCTCGGATCGATGCTGGTGATAACAGTTTTTTTCAGCTCGATCTCTGATAAAAATTCGATGGAAAATTATCGAAGCCATGGGAAAATATCACAGATCCCGGGACTTATGGCCAGTAGTGTATTTCCATATAGATTGATTGCACTTTATATATAATAGAAAGCTGAAGGTCAGTGAGAAAAGAATACCTTATTCGTTTTATAAAGACCTAGCAAGTGTTGTTTCATGTTTTTCTATATATAAAGCAAACTTCAAGTCAATGAACCCCATGTAACAATTGTTGTAAAAATTCGGCTGGCTTGCCAATTATCTAGTGTTTCGATGTTGTATATTTGAGGTCTTACTAGTAATATTAGATAGTATTAAAGGGATCGAAATTTAATAGCATGTTTACATATTTGTCCTACTATGAGTAAGTCTCATAACAATGTCAAATACATTGTATCATTGCATTATCTTTAAATGTGATTGTTTTATCATAAGACGAATAGAATTTATTTATTAATCTTCTTATTATATTTGAACGACAGAATTCATATCAAATACCACGAAAACGTTTATTATTACTATGCATGTTATCATAGTTTTGATTAAATGCTATGTTTTCAATATTAACAAAAGTAAAGTTACGCTTTAATATGCAGAGAAAATGTCAGTTGATGTTATCCAAGTAACATTTTAAAATAATTTGAATATTCTTTACGACATAGAGGAATTATTCGGATGTGTTGCATTTAAATATCGATGATATCCTTTTGTACGGCTATGTGTTTGAAAAGAACAAGCTGAAGATTATGAAGAAAATGTTGTCATTTGCAGCCGGTCATGATAGCTCTTGTATATTGCTTATCTATACAGTAGGGTGTGAATGGGAGTGGATTTCAGGTGTGTGATGAATTTTATACCCTCACTCTTACAGCCACCTCTTCACTCGAAAAGAAAGAATGTACATTTCCATGGATTGATCCTATTGATGAAGGGGAAGAGCTTGATATCAAAAGACTTATTTTTCTCAAGCTTCATGATTATTGTAAAGCTCAATGAATGTCTGCTAATAAATGGTAACAAGCAGATCCGATTTAGACATTTCGAGCAGTGAATTTAATTCAAAAAGATGATCTTGCACAGCTAGGGATTATCATGTAAGGAATCAATTTAAGAAAGATCGTTTGTGCTATAACAATATCTATATAAAGATCCATTTGATAAACTTGTATATATTCGCTAGCATCACTATAAGTTTATGTCGCAAAACCGACGGAAGAAAAATCTATTTCATAATAGAGACAATTAAACTATCTCCTTATCATTGGTTATAAAAGCTAGATCGTATTTCGCATTTTAATCCCGTAGGAATTGCTCTAACAGCCTTTATGCAATAGAATACCTTATGACAATGCAATTTTCAATCATTTTTGCATGATACTCTCTAGATGAAGCGTTTTCATCATCGTCGTCATTACAATATTTCATGATGACATTGCATTCATCTGCTGATACTTCGCACCAGTATAAAAGTGCATCGCTTTTTCTTATTGTTGTCAATAGCGGATACACAAAATGCTGATTATTCTTACTACGACGGTGTTATTCTTATCATTAAACTTGGGTGTCAATGGAGGATTTTCATGTGGTGGCACCGATGGTTTATTTGCCAATCCGTTTAATGCAAAATCGTATTTTCAATGTAAATCTGGTATAGCAACTTTAGGGCATTGCGAAGAAGGAACTGTTTGGAATCAAGATAAAGAATTTTGCCATTGGAAACCAGCTAAAAGTAAGTATCAGTATTAAAGATTCAACGAAGTGTCCTTGAGTTAGAGAGACAGCAATGAGTTGATGCATTTGAATCAAGAAAAGACTTAGAACAAAGAACATGATCCTCTCGTCATCATACATCTAGGCCAAACTATAAACGAATCATACTCGATAATTCTTACATTCTCTTCCACGAACTATTAACATCTGCACTTCCAAACTTGAATAAATTTCGCTCAATGATAACAAATAACTAGGAGTCGGTGTATAACTTTGTCATCCAAATGTTCATCATGGTAATCATCTTGTTTTTGTTTTCAATTATAGAGGATAAACAACGTTATCTGATTGTAGCTGGTGGTGATACACAGACAGGTAAATGCTTGGATATTGCCGGTGGTGGATCCGAACTTCATGCTCGAATCCAATTGTTCCGTTGTCATGGAAAGGAAAATCAACAATTTCAATTGAACAAGGATAGTAGTCTTCGTGTCATGGGCAAATGTCTCGATATTCCCGATTCGAATGCACGTGATCATCAGTCCATACAATTATTTACTTGCCGTCCGGAACAACAAAATCAACAATATCTCTTTGATCAACAGGATCGTATTCACGTGATGGGCAAATGTTTAGATGTACCGAATGGTAATATAGTCAATAGTAATCCATTGCAATTATTTCGATGTCACAATCAATTAAGTCAACGTTTTACATTGATACCAGTTTAATAAATTGTTGTTCAAAAGAATAATAAATGAGCATTGCAAATTGAATGTCTTCACAATGAAGACTCTCAATAAAATATTCATCAACAGAAAAATCTAATCTCGTTTCAGTAATGATAAATATCTTGAAGACTCTATAAGTATTATCGAAAAATGTCGATTCATTCAACTCATTTTTGAGAAAGAAAATGAAGTAAAAAAAGATGTACAAATGAGTAACATGTTGAACTGACTAGCACAATCACGGTATCAATTGAGCTTACCCTAGAGAAAATCTTTACTGTTTCCACACAAGATCCTCGATGAATTTGGCAAGGATCCTGCAAGGATTCGCTGTGTTTCCTGAGGAAACAGTGAATTCTGGAAGAAAGCATGTAGCCACTAAATTACAAGATCCTCACAGGATTCGAAACAGGATTTTATCAGAATCTTGACCAGTTTATCATTAGATTTGAATTCAGGAATTTGTTCAGAAAACGGTAAAATCTTGTTAGAAACGTGTAGCCGCTAAGTGAGAAAGATTTTTGCAAGGTTTAAAACAAGATCCTAGAAGAACTCTGAACAGTTTTCTGTTGATTTCTGATCAAAATTCTGTCAGGATTTCAGTCATTCCTGTTTCGAACAATTTTCCAATCGCTTTTGTCAGAATTTAGTCAAGCCTCCTCGAAGATGTCATCA